TTTTTTTTCTTTTTTTCTTTTTTGTTGTTGTTGTTGTTTTTCCTCTCTCTTTTTAAGTCGGTGTTTCGAGGCGCTGTGGTCTTTATCCCCGTGTGGTTTGATTTACTTTCAGCGTGTTTTGTGCTAATGGTTTAACTGGATTTTAGGAATGAAAAGGAGCATCTGTTTGCGATCTGGGAGCTCCGCTTAAGCCCAAGATGGTTGTGGTGGCCGCAGTTTCGGATTTCACTTTCTTCTTATTAGTTAAAATGAGCATTTGCAACCGCGTGCGTGTGTGTTATGCGCATAAACTATATAAATAAAACCGTAAACTACGTACATTAGCTACACGGCTAGATGGACATAGAGTTTTATAAACGCTCAGAGAGGGTCGAGCGCGGAGCTCGTTCGCACACACAAAGCCCCGTACCCGGAATCTCAGCCCGGAACCGCGGCGGCGATGTGAGGAGGGGGCGGCAGCGGGGCAGCTCCTCGCTTTCTGCTCGCAAAATGTGGGGCATCGCTGTCATGCTCTGTTCGGGGCGGTAAGAGAAAACTGAGGACAGCGCTTGTTTTTCCCGTCGGCTGGAAGTTGCAGCGGGTTGGGAGCTGTGCGGTAGATCGGGTGCTGCTCTGCCCGCGAGTCTCCGTTCCGCGGGATTCGGGGCTGTGCGGGAAGTTAACGAGTTCCTTCGATATCTTCAACTTTTCTCGCATTATGCAGTCTTAAATAAGCGCAATTTGAACGTAAAAGGGCGAATTAAAATGCTAATTACATCGCATTTGAACAATTCGAAACGGTGCATATCTTCTGATTTGCAAATTGGATTTGCAATGCATTAGTGCAGTGAATTGCTAAGTGGCGGCTTTGTTGTATTTTCTATAGCAAAAAAGGAAACATCTTTTGAACCTTTGAGAGAAATGCAGATATCAAGACGTTACCTGTAGGGCCTTTAAAATGTCTGGGCGGTTCAAACCCGATATTGAGAAATATTCAATTACGAGGAGCTGAAATTATCAGAAAGATCAAAACATAGCCGATTTTAAGCGCATGTGGCGGAGGAGGAAGGGGGCTGGGAGGGTGTCCCATCTTAACGCCTTTGGGTGCTGCTTTACCCCTCATAGAATATGGATGCAAGACACCGTCCCGGGGAAATACAAACATAACCGCCGATCTCGCCTTGACAACTCCCTAATGGCTCTCAGCAGTAACAAATTGCCATCCCCACCGTTCTGTTCTGTCCAGGGCTCCCCTTACGACGCCCATACGACGGGGATGACCGGGGCCATCAGCTACCATCCGTACGGCAGCCCTGCCTACCCCTACCAGCTCAACGACCCCGCGTACAGGAAGAACGCCACCCGCGACGCCACGGCCACGCTGAAGGCCTGGCTGCAGGAGCACCGCAAGAACCCCTACCCCACCAAGGGCGAGAAGATCATGCTGGCTATCATCACCAAGATGACCCTCACCCAGGTCTCCACCTGGTTCGCCAACGCCCGCCGCCGCCTCAAGAAGGAGAACAAGATGACGTGGGCCCCGCGGAACAAGAGTGAGGACGAGGACGACGACGATGGCGACGGGGCGAGGAGTAAAGAGGAGAACCCTGACAAGATACCCGAGAGTAACGAGACCTCCGCAGAGGACGAAGGTGGGCGCGGGGGGAGCGAGGGCGCCCCGAGGGCGGCGGATTGGCCACGGGAGCGGGCGGCGGGGACCCTTAAGCGCACTCCTTCCCGTCCCGTTGCCCCAGGCTGACGGTGCCGGGGAGGGCCGGGGGCGGGCGGGGGGCGCCGGCCCGGGGGGAAGGGTGGCCCTGCATAGGAAAGTGGCGACATGGCGAGGCCACGGCTGCCGCCTCCTCCCCTTCACTCCCCCCTCCGGCTGTGCCTCATTCTGTGCCCCCGACCCCGCAGGGATCAGCTTGCAAGTGGACTCGCTGACGGACCACTCGTGCTCCGCCGAGTCTGACGGCGAGAAGCTGCCGTGCCGGGCCGGCGATCCCCTGTGCGAGTCGGGCTCAGAGTGCAAGGACAAGTACGAGGACATCGAAGAGGAAGAGGAGGACGAGGACGATGACGAGGAGGACATCGAGGAGGACGACGGCGGCGGCGGGGAGCGCGAACCGCCGGCCAAGCCAGCCACCTCCTCGCCGCTGGCCGCCGTGGAGGCCCCTCTGCTCGGCCACCCGCACGCCGACGCCGCCCGCAGCGCCAGCAAGGCGGCGCTGGGCGGCCGCGCCTCCCCCGGGCCCCCGACGCCGGCCAGCAAGCCCAAGCTCTGGTCGCTGGCCGAAATCGCCACCTCGGACCTCAAGAGCCAGAACTTGGGCCAAGGCTGCCCGCCGGCGGCGTTGGCCTCGGCCACCCCCGCCTCCGCCCCGCACAGCGCTGCCTACTCGCCCTCCTCCCTCCTGGGGAGGCATATTTACTACACCTCACCTTTTTATAGCAATTACACAAACTATGGGAACTTTAACGCTCTCCAGAGCCAGGGGATCCTGAGATACAACTCGGCGGCAGTGGCTTCAAACGAGGGACTCAGTCAGACTGTCCTGAATGCCAGCTCTGTCCACAAGCAGAGCAGTGACTCTTTGAAAACGATCACTAACCAGCTAGAGCAACATTACAGGCCCTCTAGTTATGACTCTAAGAAAGGTAGGTGCCTTCTTTTTACTGCTGTTGTCCTCCTGCCCCCTAGCCCCCCCTCCCCGCCCACTGTAAATTCCCCATAGGCTGTGAATACTTCGGACAAAACACCACGCACGATCACCGCTGCCACCGGCCAAGAGCTGAAGATGGGCAGCAGTGTAATCCAGGGATTAAAATTGCATGCCCCCGGTGTACCAGTACCTGTGATGTAAATGACAACTTTTAGATCACAGCTGCATGCTGCAGACACAGCTTTTCATGCTAATTTAAAAGGAAAACTAAATACAAAGATATCCTGAGAGCAAGGGTGTCGTTAACTTTATTATTATTATTAATAATAATAATAATAATAATAATAATAATAATAATACTATTATTACTACTATCGACAGACTGGTTTTGCTCTCTTTGTTGCCAGTATTCTCCCGGTTTGTGCAGATCTGGGTTTGGGTAATTGCTAACCTTGGACATAAAATTTTGTGGAGCGTGACATTTTTAGCTTTTTTCTTTCTTTCTTTCTTTCTTTCTTTCTTTCTTTCTTTCTTTCTTTCTTTCTTTCTTTCTTTCTTTCTTTCTTTCTTTCTTTCTTTCTTTCTTTCTTTCTTTCTTTCTTTCTTTCTTTTGCACAAAGTTTTATGCTAATATAACCGTCAGCTTATTCTAATGCATTTGTACATGTACATATACAATACTCGAGACTAGGGCAGAGATGGAATATGGCCCAGGCTTTTAAAGGTCTCAGCTCTGACTTCTGCATGAGCGAGCGCTGGGCTGTGCGCGGTGTATAATCTGGTTAGCTGGCTGTGTCCTGTGACTAACTGACGGTTATATTTTGACAGATCCCACTGAAGTCTGCACAGTAGGAGTACAACCATACCTATAGAAGTACAATCACACAGCAATGCAAGTAAGTGAGAGCGTTTTCTATTACGCTGATCATTTGGCACCAGGTCTAAGACAGAGCGCAGATCGAGACTTGCTTAGTGTTAATTTCTTGCTTCATTACATGAGGCTCTGATTACAGAGTAAGACACTCTTTTCTGCTATTTTTAAGCCTCTCATTACAGCTTTTCTTTCTCGTGTTTGTCTTCATTTTAAAGTCAGGTTAGACTTCCTTCACCTCGCGTACTCTTTGCTTGCGTGAGGCAAACCTGTAAGGACTATTTAAATGCTAAGGAAAAGCGAGCTTGAAAGAATATTTTTGAAGGTATTGTTCAGAAACAAAGTTCTCGTGCTCACGTGGCAGTGCTGCAATGGCACATTTTAAGAGAGGTTTCACACGGCAGTAGTGCATTTGAAATGAGAAGGGACGATTATCAGAGATCCACATGCATTTCAGCAGGGTATGTTGTCTGTGACTTGCTCCTTGCCTGGCTATCAATGCCATTCTTAATACCTCCATTACCCGGGGCTAAATAAACAACAACAAAAATAAATTACCTTGTCGATACTTTCGCCTTTTTTTTTTTTTTTTTTTTTTTTTTTTTTTTTTTTTTTTTTCTTTCTTTCTTTCTTTCTTTTGGTTAGGGAAAAAAAAATAGTAGACGTGTAAGAGTTTTGCCTTACTTTCAGTATTTTTCGAATTTAATGGCGTTAGTGTGTAATTGAAGGATTTTGGGATGATCTGGTTTTTTCCTTGGTCCACAGGTAGGTGTCACAATTGCTTTGAAAAAAGTCAGCAAGCCATCATCTCTCCCTGAGCTAATATATATAACAAATCTCTAAATCCGGATCACATCTTGTGCCACTGTATAAAAGAAGACCACAGAGCACTATTAAATCTTCAGACTCTAATTATTAAACCAGAATTTTGTTGGACATAATGTGAGTTTGCTGGTATAGTATAGTTTCCCCAATGTACGTGTGACTTTTGAAAACAGATCTGTTTTTCTCAGGATATCTCGAATTGATCACTTCATTGCCACGGTATATATTCGATAGGTGTGATAGGATTTATTGTAAAATTTATTTGTAAAAGATGTATACAGTAGAGATAATAAAGACGTGATTGGAGAACTTGAGTCCTTACAAAGTGGAAACAAATTTGATATTTATTTTTGTAACGATATAAAGCTTCTAGTAATTTATGCAAGTTGTATTGCAATGAATCTGAACTTTTTGTAAATAAATTTTGCCTGGTTTTTATTTGAAACGTTGATGGTTATACAATCTTTGGTTGTTTAACGAGAATTCTTTACTAATTTATATCTCTAATTGTAAATAAAAACAGACTAGTCTGCAACAATATGGTGTTTTTCCTTCATTTCCCCCAAAGTAGTAATCTATTATCCAGAAAATGACGAAAGTTGCAATTTCACTAGCGCAGCTTAGACCATAAAATGAGTAAGCAATTTAAATATGTTGCAAAGATATACCCCTCATAAATTAATTCGTTCTGGGTCGTTCTGTTGCACTGAAGCTTTAAATGTGCACATGTGTTCAAATACGTATTTGTATATACACATGCAAATGCGTAGAGAGAGCAATGTGAATACATGCATGTTTCTTATAAACTATTTATGTTGGGCGTGAGGTAGCTCTTTATTAGGGCTAATGTTCTTTATACCCAACATTTCTAGGGAAAACAAAACGGAATTATAATCAACTGCAGTTTATTTCTAATTTCTTTGTTTCTGCTTCTAGCTAAAATGTGCAAGTACAGAAGCATGAAGAGAAAAAGTCTGATTCCTGTTTTTAATGATTTTTTCTTTTTTTCCTTACATCTTTAATTTGATAATCATAGAAGAAATCCACCTAGATTGAGCTCATAAAATCAGCTAACTAATCATCTTAATTCTCAGTAAAATAATGGGAATCCTCATATAATATAATTTCAGAAAAGAAACGAACAATCATTTATTTTCCCCAAAAGATAAATTGAGTGAATATAGCTTACGGTTATAAAACAAGAATAATAGCTTCTTAGATTGCCCTTTAATCAATCATACACTTATTTTTCAAGAGGCTCATCTATTTTATTCCATGATTAATAATCTTCCAGTGTGAGAGCATTATTAGATCCCAGCAGGGGAGATCCTGAATGCTTTTAGCTTCTTTGGAATGGTCAGTTGGGGTTCATTATGGTCTGATATTGAACAATTTATAAAATCTTGTCTAAACATCTGCCAGCTCAGATAGGCCGATGTGTCTGAAGATGGGAAATTGCTGGACCAGTTGATATTGACAAACGGATCTCTCTCCAGTGGCTTTTTGTTCACTGAAAATTAGTGGCCTCTTGCTCAGGTCTTGTTAGAAAGGGCATTTGAAAGTGATCTTAGATACTTCAGGCATCAGCCTTGGGAATGTTAACTGGATAAAGAACCGTGCTAGGCTGGAGTCAGGAAATATGTTGAGATTATATTAAACGGGGGGGAAAAGACTTGTTCTTAAGTGCGTATACGTAATCCCCCTGATCTATCTCCCCCGGCCCCCTCCGTCATATTTTACCCCTATAAAGCTGTCTAAATGATTGAGAAAATGCATGTGTTTTTCAGCTGATAGGGCAGAAATTAATATTGTAATTCTGGGAAACTCTGGGATCCATCTAGCTAAATATAAAACACTGAAGATCTGTGCAGCTGGAGGCCTGCTCATCTTCTTGTGTTGTTGAACGATGCTTCTCTCCCCCTAAACATCCTGGTTCTCATTGAGGTGACGTGTCCTTCTGTCTGTGTGCACAGAGCAATACGATTAGATAGCGGCTAAAAAGCAATTCTGTTTTTCTCTCCAATTTAGCAGGCAATGTAATTGCAAATATCGAGTAAAGTCACCCTCCAGAGCGCCTTTTCTGTGCGATTCGGGGAGATTTTTTTGGGAAACTGTTTAAGTTTTGGGGGACGCCTGAACTTTCTCTTCGCCGCTCTCCCTCCTGCTCCATCAGCCCCCACCTCCCACGTTTTCTGCTCCAGGTCTCTGTCGGACACAACGTGAACATTTCAATTGGTAAAAACCAAAAGCTGTGGCAGAGATTAAAAAAGGCTAACGACATTCCTTTGATGTTTATACGCCCGAAGACTTATAAAAGATTTCCATAATTTACCCACCCTTGCTAGTATTTAGACCTGGATTTCTTTCTGGAAAGAAAAGTAGAAAGACTTGGAAAACTCGCTTTTGAATATTCGCTCTGTGTGTTAAACCCAATGGACTTCTCTCATCTCCCGAGAAATTCACGAGTGGCTCAGAAATGCAGACGGGCGACACCCAAACGATTTGGCAAATAAACTTCTTTTTAAAAACAGAAATTAATGGGCGAGGAGCGCATATTCGGCGTCATTTGAGATTTAATAATCGAAATTGAAAGCAGGAGGGAAGCGGAGCCCTGCTGGATCGCTGGCACGAGCAGTGCGATTATTTCAGGATAGCGAGGAAGAGGCGTGAGCGATAAAATGCACCACTTTGCGTACAGTTTATTTCATAACGATGCTAATCACCCCGCCGGGATTAAAACCTCACACCCCGTCTATATCTGCTCCGTTCCCCTCCCTCCCCCCTTTCCCTCCCCTCGTTTTGGAGAGGGAGAGACAAACGCTTCCCTCCGCGGGGCCAAAGGTTTCATTAGAGCTGATTTATTGAAATTCAGCCTTTAATCTCAGGTGGGATCCCCGAGGAATCGGCGCTGTCGCCAAATAGGAAGAGGGCAGCTTTCCACCTCGCACTTCCTGGGCTGCGCTCTGCCTCGCTCCCTGCGAATGTCAACATTTGTTCTCAATAAGAGAGTTATTGTTTCAGGAAAGCTGCTCACCAACTGCTTGCCAGAGCGGAAAAAAGCGTCACCCACCTTTGTCTGACAGGCAGCGGGGGAAGGGAAGGCGACGCAGCTCAGGCAGCAGCGGACAGACAGACGGACGTGGGAACTGCTCCTGGACACGAGCTCCGGTCGCAGGGGAGCGGGCTAAGGGAAGTTATCTGAGGGCAAAGTTAATAGAAAGCTCAGCGATAGCAATAACGGCAGTAGAAAGAGTTATGACAAAAAAAGGGGATCTTTCCCAAAGTCCGCTCTCGGAGGAGGAGTCGAGCTTTTTAGGGGAAGGATGGCTTCCAGGTGAAGAAGCGAGCCGCAGTGTGCAGCGCCCAACCTGGCCGAGCCCTCCGCTAACGGCCCCGCACTGAGCTAACGGCAGGCGGGGGTCGGCAGCCCCTCCGTGCCCACCCTCGAGAAAAAAAAAAAAGAAAGAAAGAAAAAAGAAAAAAGAGAGACGATCCCAAGTCTCTCGCCATTGGAAGTTTCTGCCTCTGCCACATGTTACATCTCACTTAAAGGCAGTTCAGAGTCACCGCGCCGCTGAGAACCCGTGGCGGGCATGTAATCAATACCGGAAGGATTTTATTGCTTATTGAGTTTTGGAAAAGAAAAGGAAAGGGGTGAGAGAGAAAGAGATGGAATTTACACTAGATCGATGCGTTGCTTTCGTGCTTTCTGTATTTCCCGGTGCTTAGGCAAGCTTCTCACGATCCGCTTAGCTGAAAAGAGCCTTTGCAGTGTAGGAATTGAATAACAGCGGCAAAAGAGATTGTTAATAACAGTAGCACTGCACATTAAATAAAATGAAATTCACCCTTTTGTTTTTAATCCATTAACTAATAACTCAGGTATGATCCTTGCTTCTAAAGAATTAAAAGCGAAGAAACAAAGAAAAAAAAAAAGTTCAGAAACAAAAGGGATCCTCGATGCATATTCAAAGCACCCATGCAGCTAATCCCCGATTATTACGCGGTGACTCCGAAGCAGAGCCTTTAAGAACACCGCGGAGGTGAAGTGGTGCCGGGGGGGGGCACATCGGGGCTGCGACCCAGGGCAGCGCTACCTGCGGGCACCCCGCCGAGGGGACAGGAGGACCTCTGCCTCCAGCCGAGGGGAATGTCTCTATTTCACATCCAATCCCG